GGGGCCCCCCCCCCCCCCCCGCTCTTATCGCTGCTTCTGCTGTTCTGGCTTTTGCGCCATATATATTCATCGCATGCTCTCACGAAAATCGCTGTGTCATCCGCGTGCCCCGCCGGCTTGCAGGTAGCGCGTTCCTGTGAGATCGGGGAGAACAAGTGCTGCGATTCTTCTGCGGCTCACCGATACTGTTTTTGTATCCCCGTTAAGCTTCCCTTCCCCCGTCGCCCGTCGCGCGATCATCAGGTTCTCCACTGGATCCGGGTGTTCGGCAGGGATAACGTCATGGTCGTGGATTCCGCTGATTTGAAGTCGAGGCAAAAGGAGACTATCGAGGTGCGCGTTTACCAGGCTCCACTCCTATGTAGCATGCTTTGGTCCCCAACCGTTACCGCAGCCATTCTTTCTTTTTTTCACCTTGTCGTCACCGTACTTTTCCCGTTGGTACGGTTTACCGTTCGTCGGGTTGTTACCTCTTCTAACCTTGCCCTGCTACTGCTCTCGCTATTTATGTTCGTTTTTCTCGGGGCGTGGGGGTTGTAGGATGCGGTCGGCAAACAATGCATCAACGACCGGGGTCACAGGCGGATGAACTGGAAAGCCTTTTTTCCTCGGCGGGCCCTCGTTTGTTTGGCTTTATGGCGCCTTGGTTTTTCTGTCTTCGTGTGTTGGGTTTTTGTGGTGGCCCTCCGGTTTCCACTCACATCGCTGCGCGTTTATCTCCCACTCCCGTCGCCCCTCGTTTTTCTCCGCTCACGCGCACAATTGCTCTTGTTCTTGAGCGCAGGAGGTATACCGCTTCCTCGGACTCTGTCCGGTGGACGTGAGCAGGCTGGAGCCAGAGAACGTCACCCCGCCGCCAAACATCCCGGATCACAAGAAAATTAACGCCGAGTCCTTCAAGGCAAGCGGCACCACCGTCTTGCAAACATGGCCTGAATTGTTTTGCTGGAAGGTGCCCGGCCCTTCACACGGCACACGCCAGGTTTTTTCTTCTCACGTACTTGTACACAATCATCGGTGTGATTTTTTGTTATGGTAGGTGGTACCCGGCCCTCTTCACGGTACACGCCAGGTTTCCTCTTGACGTCACAAGCCAGGTTTTCGTTTCTCACGTACACAAGTATTGGATAACTCTACTTTGACGACGGGCAGAAACATCAGTGCAGGTTGTCCTAGACAAAATGCCTACCAGTGGTAGATGGGTGTTATCGAACTCCCAATGACAAATGGGTGAGCCCGAAATCGGAAATCGGAAATCGGAATTCCGAGGAAAATGTTGGAGGAAGAAGTGCTGCACTGTCAGTACTTGAGAGAGAGCGGGGCGGAGAGCGGCTTAGAAACAGGAAAGCCAGAAAAGCATTGGTATTTTTTTACCGGTCAGCCAGTCAACAGAAAACCTGAAGTCTACTTCTTCGAAGTACTAGTGTAGGATTTATCTTGCCTGGTGCAGCGCTGGTGTGCGTGTTCTGAATGGGAATCTGACTTTCTCCCCCCGTTTTCGTTAAGGGTTTGCTTCTACGCATTGAACTCCTCAACATTCCCCCCCCACCATTTTTTTGCCCTTGTCAGGCATTGCAAGACTTCTACGAACCCTTCAACAAGAAGCTTTACAAGCTGCTTGGCCGAGATCTGGGCTGGGAGAAGAACACCTTCAAGGCCAGATGATTGGGGGAATCGTGTCGTGTTTTATAATGGCCGGTGATAGATTTTTTTTTTTCTGTGTACAGCAGCGGTGTGTATCCCCGGGCGTGTTTTTCTGCTGTTTTTGTTGTTGAATTCTCTTCGAAGTTACCGTGGGCACGGTTGTTTGTGTTGGATGTTTGTGTTGGATTAATTTCGTAGCTAACATTGGTGCAGGAACCTACACGTGTTCGTTGGAAAATAATTCCATGGGGCGGTGAACTGCACTGCGTTTGTTTTAGAAAGCGCTTCGTACTGGAGTGAGTGTTTTCGAGCTTTGGTAGTGGTTGCTGACACGAAGAGGGACTATTCGCAGGTTTCGAAATCTTAGCTGGGTGATCAAAGCTCGTTGTCGGACGAAGAAAGTCGGGGTCCCGGTAGGCCGCAGCAGTATTCATCCGCGTAGAACCCCCGGTTGGCTGAGGAAAGTGATGGAAATTTATCGCCATGGTGCGCGCTCTCGTCTTCGTGACTGTCGTACGGTAGAGGTACGTGTTTAGTGTCGGTATGTGCACCGAATTTCACCGGCACTTTGCCGGGTCGCCACTATTAAGAATGGCTTGGAAGCTCAGGGTGCGCCCGCCGAAAACGCCGGCACTAATCAACTGGCACAAAACAGGCACCTCTACTGTGTTGACTAAGCGTCTACGAGAGCGTCCGTTTGTAGCCCGATCTTTGACGGGATCGAAGGGGAAACACAGCTGACAGAGGCGCCTCCCGTCTTCTATGGGAGGCAACACGGCGCATGAACGGCTGCGGTGATCAAGCATTCATGGCATTTTTGTTTTTGTCATTGCACTTGATCAGGGAGGTCTCCAAAACGGTGGGTTCCTTTTGGGAGCGGTTTGGGGCGGATGACGCGCACGCATCAGAGGGTTGGCTCCAAGAACAGGGCCCAACTGATGGGTTTCCTTGCATCCTGGATGTGTAGTGCACATCAACAATGTTTTGTGAACGAGGCAGACAGAAGTGCATCCCCAAGCAAGTTGGGCGCAAGGGTGGGGCTCGGGAGTCATTCATGGTACAGTACAGTAGTATCTCGTGTTTGTCAGTGTGCGTTGGCGTTCTTGAGCCGGGGATGGGGGGTGTGTGGTTTCGTGGGTATGTAGCCCGTGGGTGCGTTTTCGCGGAATTCTGCTCGATCAAGCGTGTTCTCACCGGGCACGTGCTGTGTTCGTATCTTTCTGTACGCATGCTTTCTTTTTAGGCTACGTGTGCCTGTGCGACCATGAGAATCGACCGTGTCAAGTGATAGATCAGTACGCACAGATGAAGGCACTGGGCAGCGAGATTTCGGAACGGTTTTCAATGTGAAGACAACAACAACACTTTTGGTTGGTGCAGTAGTGGATCAGGCGAATTCGCACTCTGCGGTCGGCTTGCATGTTGGCACGGTTAGCATCAAAGCGATTCCCTACCCAATGGCGACGGCAGTGAGTGAGATGACTAGAACATACGGAAGTGCGAGCTGTAGCAATTGAGCAAGAGCGCATTGCCGATTAGGTTGTCGTAACCTCCGTGATGTCATCCCGTTTATTCTGGATGTCGTCGATGCATGACGGAGCGGATTTTCCCTGGTCGCACATCAAGGACATCGTGGTTCCAAGAATTGAGAACCCCATACCGGCCCAGGAGCCACATACGTACAGGTTACGGTCCCCTTGCAGTCTCCTTCATCCTGGCCGTAGCGCTACCCGGCATGATTAGCTGCTCGTGGTGGGGAAATTGCTGAAGAAGAGAAGTAGACTAAACTAGACTATACGTCGAACGGATGGTCGCGTTTCTCTGTAAGGTACGGGTTGGTCTCCAACAAAATAGCTCTAGAAGTTAACCCAACACTGCACGGACCGCTCTCAGGCACACTTCGTTCACTGACAGCTAAGGTACATGGTCGCTATTCACCACTAGCATAATGGTACGCCCGTTACGTTGGGGTCTGTTGTTGTCGTGTTACGTGTCAGTGCTGCGCGGGAAAGGAGCCCCCGTGTGGAAACCCCTCTGATCGGGCCGCTCTCTCGGCAACAGACCTCCACACCCGGCACCGGCTTTAGAGGGCGAACGAGATTCCAGATCTAAGATATGTGTGCACAGCGTAAGCTCTACGTGTCACTTAACATTCTGTATTTGTTGCTTTAGACCCTGTTCAGGTATTTAATGCATATAATAACGGTCGGCATAGATCGAGCTGCTGCCAGATGGCCCGTCGGAGAGGTAGACGGGGCAAAGAGGCTCGTGGGGTTAACAGCCCCGTAGGTCGACCGGCTACGCCACCGGCTGCGCCTCGTAACCAGCCTGGGAGCTCTGGGACACCCGGAAGCGGGGGCACACAGCCAATATTAATCCTTCGCCAGCTTACGGAAGGCACGCTAACCTCGCGTACTCCAGTTGTCGACCACACAGAAGGAGGCGTCACAAGTGAATGTCCACGGAGCGGGAATTAGGAGAGAGGGCCACCTAACCACCGAGGTGAGCATCCCCATCGCCGCGACAAAGCGCGACGCGGGAGATTCCGGTGCACGTGTCCGTCGGACGGGAGGAAAGACCCGGTCGGACAGGAAACGCAGGAGGAGGAGGAGGCCTTCTGTAAGTGCTACGGGTGGTGGCCTACCCAACCTTGAGAGCAAGCTCGCGGAGGAGGATTACTACAGGCAGCAGGGCGAGGCGAGGAGGGAGGAACAGGTCCGTAAAGATCGCGTGATTGACGAAGACGAACGGCGAGAATCAGAGGCCGGGGGAAATCACCCCGTTGATTCTCGGCGTAGGAGTCACGGCGGGAACCCAAGACAAGGCAGTTATCAACCAGGCAAGGGGAATGCGGGTAGGAGACTTTCTGCCCCAGCGGTGCTATCTGTTGGCCAACCAACCGGTAAAAAGCGAAAAAAGGCGTGCGAGCGTATGGAATGCGGATGGGTTACACACAACCCTGGCACCGAGTGTAGCAAATGCCCCGGGAGTGTAGTGCACTCGGCCGACGACAAGCCTTGTTCGGCATGCCACAGGTCTCCGAACGATGAAGGTTTCACGCACCTCCGCGGGGACCGGCTAGGGCGAGCGGTAACCTTCGGGGTCGCGTGGACACAAGGAGAGAAACTCCTGCCTCCTGCTCTTGTGCGGGACTTCATGCCTGGGAAGGACTGCCTCTGCCAACGCCCAGACTGCTTGCTACATTTGTTCGCCGAGGAAGGAAGGAAGGCAGAGTTTCTCGTTTGCGGAAAATTGTATTGTAACTACCGGAAATCGGGCAAGAGCAGCGTAGGGTGGTATCCCGTAGATGCTGCAGGTGATCATGTCGCGGCGGGGAGTGCACCAGTGAGCGATGTCGTTTGGTGGTGCGGTAATTGCTATCAGAAACGGTTGGTTTCATTGAAAAGATACGAGAAACAGACAGAGCACCCAGCGAACACGGATCGTGGATCGGGGAGGGAGGCGCCGACCCCTCTAGAATCGTTGGACACGGTGCGCGCGATGGTGGTGGAAGTCCTCCGTCGAGGTGAGATCCTGTACTGGCAGGACGTCGCCGGTTGGCAAGCTGCTGAACGCGCAGAGTATGGAATGGAGGAGTTACAAGGGAGATACCCAAGAATCTCGTCCGGGCCTTGTTCACCAGCATTGCCGCGGCGCCCGGGAGCAATTTTCGATTAGTCTGTCACGATGGAGCAAAGGGAGATGCACGCGAGCGGGAGCTCTGCCTCTTCCCAAACTCAATTCGGGACGAGTACCTCGTGGACATAATGCTGCGTGCTCGCCGTAACGCACCCGCCCAGTCACCATCCGACCAGCTAGCGGATAAGGACGAGTCTCTCGAGTCGATCCTGGACCAAGTCGTGAAGGATAAGGAGGGGGCAGACGCAAGGATGGATGTCGTGCGAGCAGCTGGAAGAATTGTTCGAAGCGACGTGGAGAGTGAGCCTGCCCCTAAGAACACCCCCGGGACCAAGGAGAAGCATCGCTACGCCGATGAGTTGGCCATGAAAGTATTGACCCCGAGAGAAGCTCTACTATCCGCGTATCCACGGGCCTTGGTTGGATCATACCAAAGCATGACGAAGATGGCGCTGTATCGCGAGATCACCGCATCAGAGACCGAAGATCCTGGAAAGCCCTGGGTGTGGGAGATCGCAGGGCAAGACGGACGGCACCATACCACCTCGGGCGGTGGGGAGGGCGAGGACGTTGATGGAGAAAAGAGGAACGAGGTCAGTCAAAGAGTAGTCACGATGTCGTCAGGGCCCCGATCCGAGGAACAGGCCAAACATATCGACAGCCTTAACCGCGACAGGCGATTTACGCATCGTAGGCTTCTGATGATGTGTGCGGTGGTGGTGAAGGCCATTTTGCATGGTCGGCACATGGCTTCTCACGACATCAAAGCGGCTCAGTGGGCAAAGTCTAAGGGTACGTGTC